CCCACCGAACCCTGTCCCGACACTCTTCGTCAGCAGCATGGCGGTGGAAAATCTGGTCCCGCACGCTGAGGTCCATCAACAGCAAAGCTGCATTCTTCTCGGCAGGGTCCACCCCCGGCACGTTCTCCTCCCGCCTCTTCTCCGCAATGTACCGGAGCGCTGGGCTGCCGTTCTGGCTCTCGCCACCTTCGTACCCGGCGTCGGTATCGTCCGAGTCGTAGTGATCGAGCCGCCGCTTAGCCGGCCACGTCCGTTGCGTCAGGGGCTGGCTGCGCGGCGGTGCATGTGCTGCCGACGTCATGGGCGCGGGGGCGAAGCGGGGGACGGCGCTGAGCCAGGGGTTCGGCGGCTGGAACCCCGTACCCTCCCGGTGGTACGCTTGTGGGAGCTGGCGAGGACGTGCCTGTACGGGCGGGTGCCCATGATTCGCGGCCGTCCAGCCAGAGGTGTGCCGCATGGGGGTCGGGGCTGCCGGGCGGTGGAAAGCATAGCCGAGAGCGCTAGAGACCAAACTCGAGGCCGAGTCCGGACCCGAATCCGGGCCGGAATGATGGCCTTCAGCGTCCGTGTCTGTACTGTAGGGGCTCAGGAGCCGGGTATAGACGCGGAGACGGCGGTCGACGTCACGGACCGGCCGCAGGGGTCGGCGGTCCTGGCGGGAGTCGGGGCTGCTGGTGTAGCTACCGCCGCTGACACGATTGCTCGAGGCCACAGCACGTAAGATATTCCGGCGCGTAATCTCCGCCTCTCGCTGGGCGTCGTATATGATCTGCGAGCTGATGATCATGCGTTGAAATTCGGGGGCACCGGGCGGTGTGCATTCAGATGGGAATGCGGGACCGAATAGCGGGATCAACGCTCCAGCAATGTCGTAGCAAAATGTCGCGCAGACAGCCTTGGCACAGTTGTAGGGCATCCAGTATCCTTGCCGCTGTTAGCAGGACGCTTCATGGCATGTTGGGGAGTTGTCACCGACCTTGAGCCAAAATGGCACCGCCTGTGATGCTGTGTGTGATGTCTTTGAGCCCAGGGTTGAGGCTTAACATCTTCGCTGGGACCGTCTCGAGCACGCCAGTCAGCAAGGCCTGTGAGGCTCGGTCAAGCCAAGTGCTCAACATACCTTTCCGTACTTGCAGCACTTGAAGAAGGGAGTCATGCGAACCAGGCCAATATTGTAGTCCCACATGACCATAAACTCGGCGTCAACGCCCGGCACCCTGAACTCGTACTTGAAGACTTGCGACACGACTCGTCAGCAGACGTACACGACATGCGATGTGATTGATGAACCCACCTTCAAAGCTTTCCCGTCCCGTTTTCTCGTAGAAGTCTTTCTTTCCACTGTTGTACGGAATGTGTGCGCAGCAGTTGTGAATCTGGCCAAAAGGGGTGACTTGAAATTTCTCAACCGCACGGCGGGCAGCGTCGTCGACATCTTGGTAGGGCCAGTAATTGATAGGACCCCTCGGTTTTGATTTGACAGTGAGCAGCTCTTTGGTCATCCTGAACTTGGTCACGAGCGGCCTTCCGGTGCGTGACGGCGAGGTATCATCAGCAGTCGAGGTGGCAGGCGAGGAGGCTGTAGGGCTAGGCATAAACTGAGGGAGTCGGGTGGTAGGTGGAGCGGGAGAGGATCCTTGAGGGGAAGGGTTGAGGAGAGATGCAAGAGAAAGCATGATGGCGTTTGTTTACACGCTCGCAGCTCGCAGATTTGTCTCGAAAAGTTATCTGCTTCCTGCGCTGTGTAAGAGGGAGAGGCGACAGGGCTTTGACTTTGACGTACTGACTAAACCGGCGAGCAGGAAAACCCCACGAGGATCGGAGGCGGTGGGATGGATGGGTTTAAGACAGAGCTGCGGGAACAACAAGCCCCGTCAGGAAAGTTGAAAGGGTAGGAGAGGGAGAGGGGGAGGGGGAGGGGGACCAGATGCTCTCTCCTCGCGCCGCTCCGTGGTGATGGGCAGTAATGGCAAACACCTGACGCCTGCTGTTCTGGGGGGTTGATGCCTCGTGCGTCTTGAGAAAATGGAGGGTGGCAGTTGCTGAGAGCAAAGCGCGTGACGACCTCCAAAATGACCAGGACAAGGGGTCTATGGCTACCGGTCCTTTCGTCAGCGGCCACGACTTACGTGTTCGGCGGTGCCGCAGTTCGGCGTGTCCAAGGGAGAGGATACCAAGGAAGAGACTCCTTCTTCGTGGCTTTTCGTGTTCTCGGTGCAGATTTTCTTTGTCAAGCTGTCTTGTAATCGAGCCTCTCAGGACTGTGAGCTCCGTTTGTGAGAGTCCACCGCTTCTTCTACAGCGTCTATCGAGGAAGGGCCTCCGAGTGATAGGTGACGAGGGCGAGGATGAGGGTCCGAGATGCCAACACCATTGATGGTGGCGTCTTCTAAATATGTCGGCTGTAGATGAGCAGGATAATGGACGAGGACTGGCTGTGCAAGATACATAGGGCCACATTCGGTGCAGAGAGGAAGGGGGGGGGCAATGCAGTCCAGGGATTTATCGTTGGGCGTCAGAATACACATCTCCCAGCAAACGGCTCATGAGCATGGGAGCGCACTCAGGCTCACATTCTCGGCTCCTTGACCGACAGATGAAAGGCTGGAAAAGAAGGCATGGTCAGGTGGGGGGTTTGGTACTCTCCTCGCCCACCCATCCCGTTGCCGGCAGCTTCGAAACCAAGAGTCCCCCGGGTTTCAGTGCCTCTCACCAAGATGGGAACCTTGGTGGAAGGCGGACTCACTGGGTGTCGTCAGGTCACTTCCGTGACAGGTTCCCAGTCAGCCTCCCTCTCTTGGCCCTCTGCAGGACCTCTGTAGGGGGCCAATGTCCAAGCAGAAACCAGTTTGACGACGCAAATACTAACATGAATGACTTTCGCGGCACCAAACACGGAAAAACACGGTGTTTGGAGGCGTACCAAGGGCGTGTGGGATGAACAGAGGCATCAATCGGGTAGCCGCATGGCAAAGCCGTTTGGCCACATCGTTAGGCGGATTTGGCGAATCGCCATAACAAAGCCAGCCATAGTTTCGGGCGAAACCTTGCCAGACATATCAACACTTGACTCGACACACGTGGCCGTGTCTGCTCGGCCGTAGTATGAGAATGCAGACGAAGACGATGATATGGTGAACTAGACCGCCAGTCTGAGCTCACTCTCGTTCGCCTTTTTCTTTTTGGGCCAGCCGTCTGTGTCTGGGGCAACGTGCTGGAAGGCAAATGCTTCTCCAGCCGACAGACACCGACTTGCCATGTCCTTTGTTGGCAGCAGCCCATGTGCATAGCCGCTGTCCTCAACTCAGTGACGCGTGGAGCACAATCCAGGGCTCTACGAGAGGCGTGTCCTTGGATGCCGCTGCAGTCTGACTGTCCTTGAGGGGTGGTTGCAGCTGTCACGACACGGATCCCTTGTTTCCCCCCTTTTGCCCCCACGAGCTCGTATGTGTACAAGCACAAGGGAAGGAAAGAAAATGTCCGAGGTTCACAAAATATCCGCTTTCGCCTGAATGTGCAACAGAATGACCACCGATTCCGCTATCCACCGCCCAGAAGGAGCCCGATGCCGGAGAACAAATGATTTCTTGTTGGCGAAGAGGCAACCCGCGAGACTGGCTGAGAAAGGTGTCAGGTGATCGAGTCGCCTACTTGCTTAAGACGAACGAGCTGATAGGGCACAAATAACATAGATGGCGTGGCGGTGCTCCAGTAAAAAAGCAGAATCATACTACCTTGTCGCGCTTCGATTTACTCCAAATCGAAGTTAGCCCAGACAAGCTGGTTATACCAGACGATGAGTTGAGCAGACCCATCAGCTATGTACGTCGAGTCAACGACTTGACCGCCTGTCGGCATCAAACCCGCGAGACATCGTCGTTATGATTTCTGCGACTTCCCATGACACCTTTGTGTGGGTAGCGCAGAGTCTTGGGAGAGCTCGATGATTTGGGCTGGAGTCTCGCAAAACGGAGATACTTACAAACAGACAAATAAAGACGCGGAAATGGACATGTCCGACCCTCCTTAAGACAGCCGATGGCTCTGGAACAATCAGGAACGTTTCTATGTCGGCCTGTCACTCGATATGGGGTTTGCCGCACGAGTAAAAGAGGCTTGCCAGCTCAAGAACAAGTGTTCTGTTGTACCCCACGCCGCAATAGAGCAGATCAGGGAGGAGACAAGGCGACAGGCAGCGAACGACCGGCAGATAATTCCAACCTCATCAAGCCACTCACTTGCACCGGAGGCGGCTCAGAAGTATTCGCTTTTCGTGGTCTGCAACACAGCCTTGGCGTCGACGTGTGTAGCCATGCGGGGCAGTGAACGAGCTGAACTGGAGGCTCATTCAACCAATATACGTAAAAGACTTTGTTCTCTTTCATGAGCAGTGGTAGGGCTTGCTGTCTAGGTTTCAGAGGCATGTGCACCTGTCTCGGTGACACCGCAGAAAGTGACAGGACAGGTCATGACGTTCGCGCGCCGCGAGACTGGTCGGCTTCAATGCCGTCATGGGTGTGTGTCTCGACTTTGGGCGTCTCGGAATCCGCTTTCGCTGTCGCCGCGTGGATGAAGTGACACACCGCGTGGCCGGGGAAAGGCCTGTGCACA